AAATGGCGGACAGCCTTGCTTGGCGACCCCCATGAAATGGTCGATCGACCCCAAATGGGGTTGCGACCCATAGGTTGAGAACCGCTGATTTACACTATCCAAATTTGCCCTATTTTATGACTTTTCTTGCCACAGTTGTTAAGCGAATCACTACATTGGTTAGCTTACTAACGTTGTTGTCAAGTGAATCTGGCTTCCCCATTGACTTTGCTTGTCGGGTCACAAAAGGCAATCACATAACCCTGGGACACTGCAACCGTCATAAATATGAGCCAGTTGCCAAGCATCCGAATTTTGATCATGGGACGATGGGAGGCTGCAATGATCATTAAGTGTGAAAAATGGTCATATGTCACTTTTTCAGTGCTGTAACTTCGAATGGTCACTAAATGAATAGTTGTAAGTTGAGGACTACTTGAAATCCAGAGTGGCCTCACTTACTCATGTCAAAGGCCTGAGCAAGCAACTTGGTCTTTGAAGACCTTTGAAACATAAGCAGGATGTGGGATATATGGATATTTGTGGAAACCTCATTCCAGAAGGCAGGCACTGTTATAGATGGTGTTTTTTAATCACAGGAATTAGCCAGGGAGATACTGTGGGTGACATATGGTCCCTCAAACAGCTGGGCCTTATGCAATGTAGGACTTTATAAATAATGGCCAGTATCTTATCCATCATCCAGAAGCAAACCGGACACCAGTATAGCTAGGGAATCAGAAGGGTTATATGATCATGTTGAAGTATGCTCTTCACTGCCCACACTGCTGCATCTGGGGTCCATTTTGGGTGGTCTTCAAGGGCAACTCCACTGAGAGCACATAGTAATAGTTAAGTCTTTAGTCTTTTCTTTTTGAAGAATGTTTCTTACTCCTTACCCCTACCCTAAGCTTTGCTTTTCTTCCCCCAGGTAACTGGGCCGCAGCCTTCCATCATTTTTATTTTCTAACAACGCATATGGGATCATCTGGATTGTAGAGGAATTCTTAGAAATCAAGATAATGCTTATTGGGGTCCCTAGGATTAGTAGGAAGATCCAGTGCAGATAAGTATGTTGGGTTGGGGGCCAGCATAAACAGTGTTTGTGGCACTCTTATCTTATTCAGAACAGAGCATAAAGATAGATTAAGGTGGGGATGGGGAAACTATAGCCCTCTGATGTTCAGTTACAGCAGGGGTCTTCAAACATGGCCCTTTTATGAGTTGTGGACTTCAAATCCCAGAATTCCTCAGCCAGCGTGCCTGGCTGAGGAATTCTGAGAGTTGAAGTGCACAAGTCATAAAAGGGCCAAGTTTGAAGACCCCTGAGTTACAGTAACATGGCCTGTAAACATTAGGAATAGTAGCTCAGCAGCAGCTGGTTGGCTATGGGTTATTCACATCTCATTTAAAAGACTAAGCAATTAATGTTCCGATCTCTCAGTCTTGATTTCTCCACATCTACCTACAATCATATATGATTTGGTTGAGATCCCAGTTTTATGGTTAAGATCAGGGGTCCGCAACCCTTGATCTGTGGCCCGATGACTGGCTGCAGCCCATTCGGAACCGGGTCGTATAAGTGGTAGACAAGTGTATGTGCATACAAAACCACCACCCCCCCTCTGCTGGTCCACCGAGCTGGAAAGATTGGAGACTGCTGGTTTAGACAACAGTCCTTTTATTTTAGGCTAATCAATTCCACTCAGCAACTAGGTGGGAAGCTTAAAGATTTCACGCCATGCTACTTTATGCATGTAACTCTTTTTCTTTCCATTTCTCCCCCAATTGATTCTTTCTATATATTAAGGTCTAGTATTATTATAAACAATATATGTGCTACTTTTGCAGATAGAACAAATAAAAGGGACCTGAAATGTTAAAACTGCAAGAACTGTTAAAATATAAAACCCGTCAAAATATTATATGTAGGGTTTTTTTTTTAAATGCATTGCTTTTTTACAACTTGCTCTTGAAAGTACCATACTTAGATTTTCTATCATGCTGGGAAGCACAAGGTTTGAAATTTGCTCCATCTGTTGACCTGGACTTTCCCATAAGGAACTTACATTTGGGTTAGCTTTTACTGTTCATTCTTTGTCCCAGATAAATATATAGTCAAAACAAACCTTCTATTCATTGCTATGGCTTGGTGAATATTTGTTTTTGTGTGTGACTAAACACTACCAGCAAAGAAACTTTCCAGGTTCACAAAGTTTGTGCTTATTGAAGCTTGATAGAAGTTTCATATCTTAACTATTTCTTCCTGAGTTTTTTTCTTAATTATTTCCTCCAATTTCTTTTGCATTCATTGTCTACAATGTAATGCTTTTCCGCTAAGCCTTGAGTTGTCTTATGGAACTTATGTAGACAAAACATTTACAGATGTGGACCAATATTCTTTGCTGAAACTAATTCCTAATTCCTACTGATTCTTATGGATTTGCATTGTCATTTTGTACATTTCCTCTGTTTAAAACATGTAGAAGTAAATGTTATTCATATATATTTGAATAATATAAATGTAGCTTATTTATATTTGAAAAGTACAGCATAGACTATACCATTTTTATATACCATATGCTCAGTGTTAAGTTATGAGCAAAGCATGGTACTTTAGTATTGACTAAAAGCAAAGGAAAAAACAAAACATAAATACTAACACTGAGTTTATTGACTAGCTTTTTGAAGTTTAATTAAAAAAAACTACATTTTCTCAAGGTTTAGGGTCCTTGCAATGGCTCAGCAGTTAAAGACACCGAGCTGTCAGCTGGAAAGCTGACAACCTGGGTTTGAGACCGGAGCGCCACGTGATGGGGTGAGCTCCTGTTCCTTGCCCAGCGCCAGCCCACCTAGCAGTTTGAAAGCATGCAAATGCAAGTAAATTAATAGGTACCACTTCGATAGGAAGGTAATAGAATTTCATGTGCCTTTGACGTACAGCCATGCTACCACATGACCACGGAAATTATCTTAAGACAATGCTGACTTCCTCAGTCAAGAAACAGACATGAGCATCACCTCCTAGAGTTGCACATGACTGACAGGGAAACATTTACATTTTTACCTATGTCCTCAATTATCTCTTGTTGGAATCTTCCCCATTTATTCAAGACTTTCATGGCTTTGAAAACAGAAGCTTCTCATCTGTTTTGGTTCGAAAAGATCACAATGTGACAAAATTTTGTAAAACAACATGTTTGATAGTTGGAATACATATTTCAAATTTATAGAATTGCATATGAACAATGATTCAGAGTAGATATTAACTGAGCTGGAAATATTCACAATAAAAATGCATACATAATTTTTATTTGATCTGTGTGAGAACAGTGATATGGAAATGTGTTAAGTTGCTAACCTTACACAATTGCAACGTTTTATATAACATTGTTATTCCTTTTGATGTAACATTTTTGTTTTGTTTTTTTAATCTCACAAAAACAATTAGAATCATTTTGGAGTTGGACAGCTCCAGAAAACTGATAAACAGACTTTATACTTGAAATTGATAAACAATATAAATTTCAGGTAGTGCAAAAAGCAAAAAAGGTAAATGTGTTTTAGTTCCTTTATTTGATCAAGAAATATGGGCTAAGTTGACTGGAGCTAAAGTGACAACTACAGTATGTTTCATTTATTGCTTTGATCAATGTGTTTATGACACAGGAAATACATATTGAAGTAATTAAAGAATGTCAATAATGTTATGATTAAATAAGACTGGTAAGTCTATGTCTGGCACAGTCTTTATGTCATTGACTCTTACGTCATTGATATATCAGAGCCAAAGATGATCTTATTTAGGAGTCTTGGAGCAACTGTCATTACAAACTGCTATTTTTTTGGGGGGGGGATTGTAATTTAGGAGTTTCCCAGGTGCCTGAGTTGTGGGATTCTTTTTACCCGGAAACCTTACTTTTCCCTTGCACAAACCAAATCATCATATTAGTTCCTTGCTTCCAATGCTTCCCACTGTTGACTGTCACGATTGTTTAAAAATGCCCATATAGATGCCACAAAACAGAAGAATATTGAAAATAATCTCTCATGCGCAGTCATCTTTTTGCAGTTGTCAAAAATGCAACCTACTGAGCAGTCTTCTCTCTGCATGCTTACATGCAATGACTGCAACAGCTTGTGGTTTCAAAACTACATTCCTGCTGTTACTGTCTTCAGTGTTTGAGAGTGTTTTATCTCAAAATGCAATAAGCTGGACTTAACAGCCTTAGCTAAGCAAAACTCTGAGTGGGAGGAAGGGAAAAGAAATGATAGTCCTACGTCTTTGTGTCTGGATGAGAGCCAGACCATCTGCTTAATCCAGGATCATATTAGCCAACAACTTCCTTTTTTACCTAGTAGTTGCTAGTAACATGCCCTATCAGGAATGAGGTACTCTGGGATAAGTATTATCTCGTTTCTTCATGGCACAGTTTCATGAAAAATTGCCAGTCTTCAGAGTACAGTTGGGGGAAGGGGAAGCAGAAGATTTATTTGCAGTAGGAATATGAAGAGAAGAAAAGGCTAACCTCCCCCCCCCACATTCACACACACATTATAACCCTGATGATGGATTTCTCTCATAGTTGCAATATTTTTTCCTTTCTTTTAAGAAAGCCCTTTCTTTTGCCTAATATTTTGACCTAGCTCCTTCTACATTCATGAGCAGTAGCCCATCCTTGAGAGGCAGGAGCAGACAGCAAAACCAGTGTAAAAAACAGCAGACAGCAAAACCAAGTGTATGCATGCTTTGTCTGGATTTTAAACATTAAAAAGCTATCCTGAATATTCTTGCGGGGGGGGGGGGGAAATCCAGGAGGAAAGTCTGTTTATCCCCAAAAGACAAACTCTTCTGATAAATGATAAAGGGCTGGAAATCACAGAACCTTGTAGGATTCTATTGCAGTAGCCCATATCCCGAGGGCATGCAGAAAACCCAGTGCTGGGGAGAGTCTCAAGATCAGTTTACACTCCTTGTTTGGGGGAAAAAGGGAGGAGGCTAATCAGAGAAGACAGCCTGAAATTAGTCAGAAGGGCTGCTCATCCTGCCTCCCACGTACTGTTACAGAGAAAGTGTTTTCCTGGAGGGAGAAGTGCAAGATAATTTCACAGGAAGGTCATCACCATGCTTTGAACCGGAAGCTCTGCCAGGCGACTCCTTGGAATCCCAAGGTTTCTGCAGAGCATAAAAGAGCAACTTCAGAGCTGTGTGTTTAGATTCCCATCCCAACCTACTCCCCGCCAGTTTGTCTGTTGACAACTCTGGTAATAAAATCAGATTATATTTCTGATTTTGTCTTTTTTCTTCCCGTCCCCTCCACCACCCCACCACCAGGCCCTGCCTTCTGGAGCTGAGGAAGAAACAAAACAACGAAGTCTTCCTGGAATCTTGGGATACTTTTGGGACGGTTTTTTTTCAGCACTGCAAGCAATTTGGTGGTAAGAAAATAGCAATGTTCTTTTCATGTTATTTCTCTGGCTGGGTATGTGTTTTTGCCAGATGAGTGTCAGATGTCAGATGTATTGATGTTGTTGAAGTCTGCTTTTGTGTACTGAGTGCAAGAATTAAAATGGCAATGTATGCATTTAGCTGGAAGGATACCTCAGCAAGGACAGTGAGTAGTACCTTCGTGGAAACAAACTTAGAGCAACTAAATACAAACTGTTAGCAATGTAAACAGGTATATATTTCTATGGAGAGCATGAGGAAAAATAAATGTTTTCATAGTTTAGATTTAGAATATTTATTTTCTTGGCTCTGCATATCCACAATTGTTTGCAACACCATTTACAAGAAAATTATCTTGGGATTTACTCTCATGTATGTTAATGCAGAATTCCATCCCAAGTAAGGGTGTGATATTATGAATATCTTATGTACTGAAGAAGCTGTTTCAAAGAAATCCACAAGGAAAAGGGATTTATTCTCTTACATAGATGTATAAATTGGGAACCAAGGAAGAATGCAATAGTTAATCGCCCACTATTTTCTTGAAACAAGTTTTAGTATAGTTGGTGATAAGCTTTGTCTATGCTATTTGTATAAAAGAGACCTGGTGATAAATAAACCTTTCTCAATTAAATTGGAGGGGAAAGAGTGGGTTTTACTGTATGTTGCAATTCTCTTAGGTATAATTCTCATAGAGTTCAATGAAATGTACTTGACAGTATGAGAGAGAAGAAGTTACACTTGGTGGAAAATGCAGTATTTTAGTTAAGTGCAAGGAAAAGGGAAGAGATGATGACAATAATGAAAGATGGGTACTAATTTATCAGGCACATATTAAGAAGTTGGTTTTGACTGATAAAACTCAAAAGGGCTTAGGGTTATGTGACGTCATCTCTCCTATTTTGCACCTGTCCAGCTGATATGATTGGCAGAAGAAGCTCTCTTGCTTCTGAGGCCAGAGACTTGTTCTTTTTTCGTGCAGGAGAAGATCTTGTCCCCATTGCTCCTAGCTACAGAAGACCCTGTTCTCTTGGGAGTTGGGTTTGCCCTTCTTAGTATTTGGAATCCTATATGGGTATATCTCTTTGCCAAGCTTGGAATTGTTAGATCATTTTATTAATTACTATTATAATTTCTATTAATGTTAATTTTAATCTATAATCTTAACTGTTTTTATACATTGCTTTGGTCTTAAATTGAGCTAGCTGCCTTGAGTGCTTCACACTCAGAAGAGAAAGTAATTATACAGCCTTAATAAATGTAAACATGTCTTCTCACTAGCCAAAAGGTTGCTATCCCATTTAATCGGCCATTGGTTTTGAATGCCTTCAGATTAATAGCCTTGAATTTACTTAATAGAAATACAGAGTTGCCTTTCTGCCTAGCATCCTCTCCATTATCTTCTTCATCCCTCCTATTATTATCTCTAGGAAGAAGCAGAAGCTAGTCTGATATACTGGTGAATAGCAATAGCACTTAGCCTTATATACCCCTTCACAGTGCTTTACAGCCCTCTTTAAGCAGTTTGCAAAGTCAGCATATTGCCCCGAACAATCATTTTACCAACCTCGGAAGGATGGAAGGCTGAGTCAACCTTGAGCTGGTGAGATTCGAACTGCTGAATTGCTGGAAATTGGCAGTCAGCAGAATTAGCCTGCAATACTGCATTCTAACCACTGTGCCACCACGGCTCTGGTACTGAAGGTACTGATCCAGAAACCAGGACACTCTGAGTTTAGTTCTGCCTTACGCATGAAAGCCAGCTGGGTGACTTTGGATCAGTCCTTCTCTTTCAGCCCAACCCACCTCACAGCATTGTTGTTATGGGCAAAATAGCAGGAGGGAGTATTATGTATGTTCCCCGACCTTGAGTTATTTATAAAAATAATAAAGGCAAGATAAAAAACAAACAAATACTGTAAATAACTAAAAGAAATAAAACTAGGACAGCTTGGGGTTGTGCTTAGGGAAGAAAAAAGCTGATGCAAGTAGGTAAATCATGGCAGTTGCATAGTAATGTCAGACATATACATGGATGACCATTAAGTTACTCCTAGGTTTTAACATGTATGGCATATGAAAGTTGCTTTCGCAAACAGCGTTGAATATAGCATGCAATATCCTTTGGGTAGCAAATTTCCTTTATTTGATAAAAAAGAAGGATTTTCTTTGGTTCAAAGAATTATTCTCAGTTGTTTTATTTTATTTTTTTAAAGAAAGGGCTAAGAAATACTTTGAAACTCTAAAGATGTCATGCACATGGGGAACATGAGCTATGCAATTTCCTGTGACATTTCTACACAAAATAGAAAGTATATAGAATTATAATATGATCCATTCAAATCTAAAGTTAATTCCCACTCCTGGTTTTCTCTACCTCCTTCTAGAGTTGGATTTAAAACTGCCAGCAGAACTCTCTTTTATAATTGTCTACGGCATCCTGTCAAAAACCTCTCTAAGTATCACCATCTGCACGCAATTTTCCTAACTTCTTTAGAAAGAGACGATAGTCCTTTAAAACTATATCTCTCTAGAGAAATGAAACACTTACACAAATACTGCTTTCCAAAGTTCAAATATTTGTCCTGTGCTGAAATGAAAACTCCCTAAAGGATGCTGCCATTTTTAAAGTCCGTCTAATATTTAACCAGTCTTAATGCAAGATGAATTGCTAGCCAAATCACATTTTAAATCAAAGGCCTTTTCTGCTTGTTTTATTTTCTGCAGAGTAACTCCTATTGGAAAATGAAGTGGTATGTTATCTGTGTGACTGGGTCACCACTGATAAGCCTGATTGTTTCACAAAATAAAGATAGTTTCATATTTACCAATTAGTTATTTTTTTCATGTGCCATTATACCTTATCCTGTGTCATGATACAGTGTTCAGCTATGGAGACATTTGAGTATCGTAGAAATTTACGTGAACTGTCAATAAAAATATACTGTAGATAGAGCTATGGATATAGCTATACATATAGATGATGTTGATACAGATGTAGATATATATCAGGGGTCTTCAAACTTGGCCCTTTTATGACTTGTGGACTTCAACTCCCAGAATTCCTCAGCCAGGCACGCTGGCTGAGGAATTCTGGGAGTTGAAGTCCACAAGTCATAAAAGGGCCACGTTTGAAGATCCCTGATATAGATAGATCTATTATTTGGCTTAAGGATAGACCCCTGCTCTGAGTGATTGCTGTCATATGGGTACATTATTACTTGTGGTATTTGACTGAGACAGTCCTGATTAAAACGGAAACAAGCTTCAGGTTTAGGTTCTTCCTCAGTGAGCTCAACCAGAAGTGTTTGTTTTTAAAACTGAATCTGTGTGTCCCTCTCAAAGAGATCAACCAGACCTCTTAAGTCAGTAATACCACTGAATTTAAGGTTACTTTTTAGTAGACATGGCTGGTAGTGTGTGCAATGAATTCCTGATTGTTTGTGTGTTTCTGTGCTCCTGCCTTCTTATACATAGGTTTGGGTATACTGAGTTAAGTATATCTAGTTCAATATTACTCTTATTGGCTGCCAGCAATTTTATGCAAGAGCTTTTCCATCCCTACCTGGAGATGAAGATAAAAGCTTGAGTCTTCTGCATGCCAAGCACCCAACTCTGCTTCCACTGAGTTCATTAGACAGTTTGCTTGCATGTGGACATGGTATACATCGGAGCATGAGCAAAGTTACACACAAAGATAGTTTGTGTTTGAAAGCTAGTCAGAGGCTGTGTCAAATGCACATGGGAACAGTGGGGAACAATCCCAATTTATATTCCAAATTTGCATTCAGTTAGGTTATGTATATAGTCTTCATAGGACTTATCTCTTGTGACCAATGATCACAACTGTATTAAAATACAGGGGGAACTTTTGCCGAACCACAGAAACATTTTTTCTAATAATAAAAGTTTACCACTGAAGTGATGACATCTTTTCTTCTTTGACAGCTATCTTTGCAGACCTTTAAAAATCTTTCATTTAAATTGCATTCTCAATAACTTCAGGCTTGTATCTCTTTTCTGTTTTTCATTCTATCCTTCCTGTTGTTCCATAGCCACAAAAGTGACTCATTCAAAGTGACAGCACAGGAAATTGAACAGAAAAAAAAACCATAAGGCTTTTGAAGCTCAAAATCAACATAGGAACTTTTCCTTGTTTTTTATTCTATCCAACAGAAACACGCATAGTTAAAATAACTAAGGATGTACTTATGCAAACAAGTAAACAAAATTATTTTAAGGATCTGAGCAAAGTTGAAAGAAAAGATGGTTAAAGGTTTGAGAAAGCAAAATAACAAAGGAGTATTTATTGCTAAGATAGATTCTGTTCAGGCATGCCTATGTGGAATGTATCTGGAAATGTATCTATGAATCACTCGTCTGTTTCACTTTTTTTGTGGTTTCAACACAGACTGCAATAAGCAGAGTATCCATACCTGGTACATTTGAAAGGAGTTTGGTGAAAAGTGTATTTGCCTTAATGTTTCCAAATGCCTATAGCCAAATACACATATAGGTAGTCCTCTTCTTACGACTGAGCCCAAAATTTCTGTTGCTAAGTGAGATGGCTGTTAAGTAAATTTTGCCCCATTTTATGACCTTTCTTGCCATGACTGTTAAGTGAATCAGTGCAGTTGTTAAGTTAGTAACATGGTTGTTAAGTGAATCTGGTTTCCCCATTGACTTTGCTTGTCAGTAAGTCACAAAAAGTGATCACATGACCCCGGGACACTGCAACCATCATAAATATGAGTCAGATGCCCAGCATCTGAATGTTGATCGCGTGACCCTGGGGCTGCTGCAACAGTTATAAGCATGAACAACTGTTATAAGTCATTTTTTCAGGGCCCTTATAACTTCGAACGGTCACTAAGTGAACGTTGTAAGTTGAGGACTACTTGTATTAACTCCTTCAGAATTTAGCACACCATTCCAAAAGAGTGGTGTAAAGAGGAGCCAGGCATGTATAATCTGATAAGTCAGAACTATA